AACCAATATTTGTGTCGGCTTGTTTATCACTGAATTTTACACAAATTCGATTTATAACTGAATTCGATTTTCTTAATATTTGCTGTACCAATGATTTTCACCTCTTTGACGTTTTTTTTTTTTTGTTTTATTTTTCATAGAAGCTTTAGAAAGAGAAAATAAATAGTGGAAGGGAAAGATAAAGAAAAAAAAAATTAGAAAAAGATAATAGAGTGCAAAATACTATTACTCTTTCACGGTTTAACCGGTATCGATCATTCACGGCTCGAACAAGTTAGAGTGCGGAAATTCATTAAACTTAGACCACTTCTTCCTTAACAACTATGCCCAAACCAATCGTCTCTTTTCGTCTTTCTTAAACGTGGCTTTGTTACGTAAAACGGATGAATTCGAAACTTTTCGTTACGCTTACGCGATTTTCCTTCTCTTTCTCTTTCTCTCGCTATCTATCTGAATTTTCTCCTAACGTTAATCTCACAGATTATTCTCCAATCCAAGATAAGTGAATTAACGAATATTTGAACGATATAATGTCTATATAAAATAATGAAAACTTGTGTGCATGTGTGTGTATATATATATATGTATCTGAAAAATACACACAGTTATAAGCGCTGTATCTACGTATATCCACACTTACTTATCAGAAATAATTTCATTAAAATTTATTTGTATTCTCGATTCACGATGATCCATCTATATTGAAGAGAGGAGTGAGTACTCAATTGTTATTTAATATCCTTGACGTGTAATCAATTGAATTTTAATAATTGATTATATCTCTATCAACTCACTTGGTTAGATCGATTGAATAATCATACTTCGTTATAGAATCATTTTGAAAATTGAAGAGACTACCATCCATCCCGCGTGTATTGCTTTTCGACTATTATTCGAACAATACACCTAGTTCAAAAGAAACAAGCCAGCCATTATTCTCGGTCGAATGTCCTACGTTCCGAGTGGACCAAAGTAAGAGATGAAATGAGATAGAGAAAAGGAAGAAGGGAGAGAAAGAAAGAGAGTGAGAGAGAGAGAGAAAGAGAGAGAGAGAGAGAGAGAATATCTCGTAGGTAGGTGGGTGGTTCGCGGTATTTAGGAATAAATTGACCTACGTCGCCGTCGGCGGTTGTTTATTTTCGAAATTAAATTGAATTGGCCCATAACTTGGCGGTCTATTAGCCCTGGGGAGCAGGCTAGTTTGCTCGTAAATCTCCGGAGTATCGGACTGGGGTGGCGGCACCACGGGGATTCCGCGGGATGAAGAAGGGGTGGGTGCTTGCTCTCGAAGGGTGGCTTCAGGGTGGCAAGTTCGACCACGGGTGTGGGGATTCGATTCGCTCTCGACAATGCGTCCGGAAGCTCCCAGGAAATACATGGGCGTGGTGCCGAGATAAATGTACTCTTGCATTTGCATACTTACGTATCGCGAACGAGAGAAATTGTGTATGTGTGTATGAGAGAGAGAGAGAGAGAGAGAAATAGGAAAGAAAGATTCTCAATACTTTTTGTTCTATTAGATTTTCTTTTTTAATCATTCGATATACTATTGTCCAGGGCATTTGATGCGTTTAATATTTAACATTTATTATACATTCGTAAAAATTCTCTAATCAAACAAATATTTAAGCAATTGTGTACTTTAGTAAATGAAATTACAATCTAAAAGAGAATTAATTAGATAATAAACGATATTTTCATATTTTATTTTTAACAGGGGAAAAATAATTAATCGATCTTAAGAGTGGAAGACTTATACAATAATGGAACGTTCATTTTTCATTTTTACAATGGCACCATTGTGTATGCGTCAGATTGATTTAACATCAATTTTTCTTATTACTTAGCACGTAATCACCGATCGTTTTGTTCCCTTATTTTTTTTTTTTTTTTTTTTTTTTTTATAGAACGAATATTTTTCTTCGCTTTATCGATCAACCGTATCGAAGATAAAACGATAATACGTTATCGGTAATCCAAGGTTTTCTTTTGGCCTATAGGTGTACGTACGCTCGCGTGCCGAAACACTACTCTTCCCTTCTCTTTCTTTCTTTCTTTCTTTCTTTCTTTCTTTCTTTCTTTCTTTCTTTCTTTCTTTCTTCCTTCCTTCCTTCCTTTTTTGTCTTATTTTCTAAGAACGATAAATTACGACTAGGACGGAATTAATTTCGAATTAGGAACAAAGTTATTTGTCACTAGTCGAGTTGAAAATATTTCGATCTTTCCTTCCAGAGGACCTCTCCTTTACCTTTTATTGAAACCTTTTTATTCCGAATCATCGATCATTCTTATATTGAAAGGAACCGAAGGTGTGAGATATACGCCAAGAATATATCTTTATATTTGTCATTATTTTCATTTTGTCATATAGAAATGACAATGTTTTATATATTATCAAATATAATATACATCAAATATATATATATATCTTATAATCATTAATCATAACTTAAAATAAGTACAAATATTCTACGATCTATAGAAAAAATATTAAACACGTGATAATATATTCTTAAAATAAATCGTCGAATAATAAATTACATTTAGAAATCATTAAATTTGTAAATATATATTTCAAATAAATTAAAGAGAGAAATAAACACGCGAGAATCGTCGAGAAAATTTTGGTAGCAAAAACCTTTTCGTAGAATACTTTCACGAATAGAAAGAGAGAAAGAGAGAGAGAGAGAGAGAGACAGAGAGAGAATAGAATTTATTTATCTAGCCGGTCTTGTGCTTATCAAGATTCTGCGTGGGTAGAACGAGACTTGAAGAAAAGAGTAGGAAAGTAAGGTTATAGAGGGTAAAAGAAAAAGGATAAGAAAAGAAAAAGGGGCGTGGAAGTTCTATGCTTCTCTTTCTGCAGCACACTCGTATCGTCTGCCGACCTTGTTTCCCTCGCAATCTTCTTAGACCGAAGGTTATTTGCTTTGTCGCATTAAAGGGCTCTCCTTCTTTGCTTTCTTCTCTTCCTAGCTGTTCTGAAATATTGCATCTTAAAACTTGGAGCATGCGACTCGCGACTTCAACGCTCAACGTTCCCCTTTACCACCCCTCTCCACCCCTTGAAATATTCCTAATATTTTCTACTTTAAGAAACGAGGTGACCCTTCCTCAGATTAAAACGTTCGAGTATACAGAACACCAATTTCTATCTTTTCTCTCTCCCCCCCTCTCTCTCTCTCTCTCTCTCTCTCTCTCTCTCTCTCTCTCTCTCTCTCTCTCNCTCTCTCTCTCTCTCTCTCTCTCTCTCTCTCTCTCTCTCTCTCTCTCTCTCTCTCTCTCCCTTTTTTTTTTTCTATCATTCACGCAAAACTATCTGTATGTTAGTCGTTAAAGATCGTTAAACTCTTTTCGACCTCTTCAAAAGTTCTCTAACTTGTCGGCAAAGTGTACGAAACGTTGAATTCTTCTTCGAGTTTAACGATCAAACTTATACACAGTTTTCTAATAGCAAGAAGATGATTCTTATTGCACGAACGAACGATTATATTATATTATAAAAATGATTATTAATATTTTAAGAAAGAAAAAAAAAGAGAAAATTAAAGATAACTCTCGCAACATTTAGTTAAACAATGTTTTATCTCATTTTTATTTTAATATATATAAAAGGAAATAAAATATATTTATATTTTATAATAGTTAATTAATTTCAAGATCAATTATTTGTTTATTATTATGAATAATATTTACAAGTCAATATGTATCGATTTCATCTGTCAATTTGATTATACTATTTTTTGATTATTCTAACAATAAGTAATACCAACGTGTATTCAATTTCTCTCATTAGGAATAGTAGTTCCTTGTTATTATGATACCGATATCACGTCGATCGATACAACCTCGCATAAATTGCATGCAATGTACGTATGTGCCGACGTAGACTCGATTTTACGCAATATGATACCATGCTTGAAGGCTACGCCAAAGTGCACTTGCACATACATATCTATATATATATACATATACGTATGTATACATTCCTACAAATATATAAATATACGTATACATGTTTTTCGATTTACTACAATGTAATGACATTTTTTCACAAGAGCTTTTTTTCTCATTTTTCTACAAATTACATTAGAATTTGACTTATCGAAGAGGTTATCCCATTTTTTATGATTAATATCGCACCATGTGAATATTCACGTATAATTGTAATAAAACTATTTTCAATGCATCCTTCATTTTCTCTCTCTCGTCCTTTTTTTTCTTCTTCTTATCGTTTATCTCAACTCGTTCGCATACATGATCGTGCAAGAACACTGAACGAGGTATTGCATAATCTCTTTTCTTTCATTTTCTCTCTCTCTCTCTCTCTCTCTCTCTCTCTCTCTCTCTCTCTCTCTCTCTCTCTCGCACACACACATATACACACATACACACACACAACTTTCTCGCTGTCTTTCTTTCTAGCTAGTTTCTTTCATAGGAAAAGCAAAGAAAATTTTTGACGGCGTTTGAAATTCAGGCTACGACGTGATAAACGAATTTCCTGCAAGTCGTTCGCGCGAACGCGCGAGCGCACGCCAAGATGCACGAAGAAAAATATATGGAAATGACAAAGTTTTTTTTCCGTACCGTACAGGAATACGGTACAGTACGACACGACACGAGGATGCCTTTATTTGAAAGGCAGATACCAGCCCAGTCTCTCTCGCTACGCTTGGAAGAATAATAATTTTTGCGCATCCTACAACTCTTCTTTACTAAGCGCGAAAGTAAAACGCTTTGTTCGATGTATTCGATAAACGTTGCATGAACTTTTAAACGCTTCTTTTTTTATCTTTTTTATTTATTATTATTATTATTATTATTATTATTATTTTTCCCTGTTATATTTTGTTTCATCTCAGTGACAGCAATGTGATGGAAATATCGATACTTTATTTAATAAAAACTTTGTAAACTCTTATTTAAAGGGAAATTCTAATTTTATCGGGGCTGTTTGATTTTCTTCTAACTTGCTTGAAATATATTTTTTCTTGAAAAATAATTTTAATAATGAAACATAAATAGATAGTTTTATTAGTATATAGATATAAATTCGAGTACTCCATAAACGTCTATTTCGTAATAACACTTTCTAATAGATAACAGATGACATGCATTTATTCTGTTATTTTATCAATTTATTAAGTACTTCATATTTCGAATAATCTGATAAGATCACGATAAAACATGATTAAAGCATCCCATTTCCTTTAAATCGAGTAACAAATCTGATAATAATTTGGAAACTTCATCATCACCGGATACGAATGCTAATTCAGAAACTTCTTCTACAGTTTTATTCATGAGAACGGGTATCTTTGGGAAATTCTTGTTTACAAGCATGTGTAAGAAAAATGTAGCTATGGTAAAACCAAATAGAGCATTCTCGACGTAATCATTATAAAAAGCTTCATATGAGTATTTATCTAAATCAGTCAAACCATTTTCTTTAAGATATCTCGTCAATTCGTCATGATAAGCTCGTAAGACCATTGAAATGTTATTGTATTTCACTTGATTGATACAAGAGAGACAGAGAAACGTGGAAAGATCGATCGTCGGTGAACCGTATCGAATTAAAGCGAAATCGATCAGCAATACTTGAGTTTCCTTCTCGTTCTTGTTAAATAACATATTGTTGATAGTGAAATCACCGTGACAAAATATGGCCAATGGTTCAACAGGTTTCGTAGTTTTTAATACGATATTATCATAAGCGTTTTTTAAGAATTTCTCGAGTTTGTCACAAACATCTCGATCGTAATTATGTTCTCGTAAATACAGGACAGGTCTGACACCTACGTAATTAATTAAATAATTATAATAATGTGACATTACTTTATCGTCATCACTGTATCGGCATTCTTGAATATCATTAACCAGGTTAAAAAATTTCTCAGATTGTTTTTCCTTCATGACGTATCCTTTAGCGTGAAATCTACCTATTTCTTTCATAACTGCAAGAATATCGTCCATCGGTAGATCGATTTTTTGTGGATGAAGAGAGTAACCTCGATTAGATACATCTTCCAAAATCAATGCTGTCTCATGCAAGTCACCGACTTCGATGTAAATACATTTTGGATAATTATCCTTCTCTGTAGCATAATTACGATAGAACATAATTTCGTTGTGAAAGTGTTTTTTTATATTAGTAACTTGTTGCACGGCTTCAGTCGTGATCGGTGTTTTAATCACGAATCGCATAATCGTTGTTTTTGGTTCCTTTTTATCTTTAGTTTTGTTATCATTCTTAATCCAAAATTTGATTACGAGGAAATAAATGCCAGAGGCAAAGATACTATTTTCAGGTTGATTAAACTCGCATTCAAATTTATCGAAATCATCTCGAAGATGACTCGCTAATTTAGGTACAAGTACATTGAAATATTTGTTGATCTTGGCGTTTACGTCAGACATTTTCACTTTTACAAAACGTTCGAATTAACGCGTGTGTTTGATTATAACAATATATTCTTTTTTTACGTTTCCTTATCCACATTCACAGGAAGAAATATTTTTCAATTAATATTATATAACAATTCACTTATAGGCAAATGTTCTTAATATATACGAAATGTTGAAGTGTTTAAACTTATTTGTTTGTTTCAATATTCAAATTAGCAATTATATGAACTATTATATGTGCGAATATTACAGACAAATTCAAGAAGTAGCCAATACGTTCAGATCTGATGGACGACTGAATAAGCAATGCTTCTATATTTCAATTAGATGAATCATTTTTATAAGAAGTAGCAGAGTGGGAGAACAAGAGAGAGGAAGAAAGTGATAAAGGAGTAGGAAATATACTGACATGAGTGTAATTAACTTAAAGAAATAGAGACATAAAACCGTATAATAAAAGAATTAACAATACATTATACGTTCTTTTTATATATTGTACATCTTAATGAGGAATCCAATTTTTACAATTTTGTTGTTGCATTAACAATTTATTCTATTTTGTTATTAACAATTTCTAATCTTGTAATAACTTAAAATAATTTATTAAATTAATTAAAAGAGATTTTAAATATTTGTTTTACAATAATCAAAATCATAATTTAACGAAATAAAGTAAATTTAAAAAATGTTAACTGAAAGCTATATTGTTCTTTTTATTTTTATTCCTACATATATATGTTGTCTCTTATACATGAGAAAATTTTTTGCCTTTATGAGTGTTGTATGTTGATTTGCATTTGATTATTCATTTAACATCCTCCGAGTGCGTACTTGTAATTCCTGACAAACATTTTACAATTTTCTCGGTAAAGATCAACTAATGATCAACATGTTGAACATCGTTGGATTTGTTTTTTTTATAGGCTATAAGAATATTCTAGTATAAATATGCAGTCCCATTTAAAAAAAAAATACGATGACTTTGATATGTTGAAAAAAATGGCCATGGAAAAGAATTCGGTCTTTCATTATATAATATCTCGGTGCCTTAGAAGAGAATATTTTTTGTCCACTTTTTATATCGTACGAATTAGACGAGATAAAATTACATAAGTATAAGATAAGATTTATCATGTATGAAATAAATATGTAATATGATTAAAACGTTTAAGACCAAAATTATAAATTATTGAAACTTCTTTAAAAATATTTTTCAAAGTTAATAAATACACTTAAAAAATTATTTTTATTTAAGTTTTTTAATTGATCGTTTTAAATGTTGTAATTTATACAAATTTGTAAATATGAGAGGCGAAAAAGAATTAAACGAGCATGGAAAAAAACAGATTCTCGAATTAAAGAGTAACAATTATCGGTAAAGTTATCAAATAAAATAAAAAGTGGTCGTAAGAATTAATTAATATCAGTATTTTAAGTTTATCGAGTTGTACCATCGTCAAAAAAAATATAAATAGATTAGAATTGAAGGAAAAAAAAAAAGAAAAAAAACAAATTTCGTCAACGACAAAACAAAGTGAAACGTTCGTGCTTTGCAAAAAAAAAAAGAAAAGAAAGTTTATCGGAAAAATAAATGGAGAAGAGGTACTAGTTTCAGTCAGCCGAAAAAAAATGTAATCTGGGTGGTGTTGCGTTAAGACTAATATAGAGAATAAATTGTAAGATATTCCGAAGAATTAATCGCAGTTGCGATCGTTTCAAGATATTTACTTACAATTATAGAATTAAATGAATAGAAAACAACAACCTGTCCACCCTCCCAGCCCCACTCTTCAAACAAAGCGTGCACAAATATAATATATACTAATGTTAAGTATGGATTGACTACAGTATCACAAGACCCTGGTCGATGTTTATTTAAGTGCAAGTTTATCTGTCGCTATATCTTAAATTCATAAGAATTATCGGAGCGAAAGAATTCCGAAGAAATATTGAAAGAAATGTTGAAAGAAAGGCTAGCTAACAGAATCAAGTAATTAATCGATGTAGCATAAAAGACCGATATAAGAAAAGCTAAAATTCGTAACAGAATAAAATAATATATCATTAATTATTAGTAATCGAGCTCGTGTCTTTTTCATAGTACATCCTTTCACCTTTACAACGTGAAAACTTGGAAGAATAAAATCTTATAATCACAAACAATTGAGAAAGTGTTTGCGAAAATATACGAAAATTGAAGGATGCTTAGATGACCGTACAAACATATAAATCGTTTTGATGGCTTTCAAAATAAATGATATAGAATTATTAACATTTTGTTAAAAACAAAATAAAATAAATCATATTACTATAAATTTTTAAAATCATTTTTAACTACGATGTAATATTTAAGCTCGTTGGACATAGGCTGTCAGAAACAGTCAACCACTTGATCCACCATTTCAGCGGTTTTTTCTCTATCATTCGTCTTGAGAATTTCTGAGACAGTTCTGACGTTAAAAAGTAAGAACGAAAGGACAAAGGAAAAAAGAATGAAAAGAATAAGAGACCTTTCGAAGACGATTTCAAGGAACAATACGTGGTGAATGCGGCGTGACTTCGTTGAAGAAGAAAAGAAAGGGTAAGGAGATTGTAGAGAGAAAAAAGTTAACGCGAGGATTACGGCGGGGAGGAGGAAAAGGAAAGAGGTAAAAAAAAAAACATAAAGAAAAGGGAGAGGTATGGGGGAGGGGGNGGGGGAGGGGGAAAGCTCAAAGATCTAGAAAGGCAAGGAGCGGGAAAAATCGTCTTCTTGGCTTTCACCACGGAAAAATTAACTGAATTGGCCGCGCACGAGTGGCCTCTTCCAACGTAGCGACGAGATAAAGAATAAGGATAAGAGAAAGAGAGAGAGAGAGAGAGAGAGAGAGAGAGAGAGAGAGAGAGAGAGAGAGACGGACAGAAGAGTCGGGAAGATTTTTGTGAGACGAAAGCTACGCTTTTCAGAAAGAACGTTTCTAAATAGAGACCGTCAAGAACCTGCACGAACCATAAATTTGTGTCCTCCGGGTACCACCTTTTCTCGTTTTCTTCTTCTTCTTCTTCTTTTCTCTTCTTTTCCTCTTTTTCTTCAGTAATATATGTAAATAACACGGTCGTTCCTTCCGAACCGTCAAACCACGTCTACGCTCTCTGTGTGTGTCGAAAACACACGAGATCGTCCACCGGATGCTGACCGACCTTTTTATTTCCTACATTTTTTAAAATCTACATTCTCAATACTTTTCAATATTTCATTTTTAACATATCACGAGAAAAATCATGAGGATATATAAAAAAAAAAAAAACAAAGAATTAAATACTGCTTTGCAATTTTAATGAGTAAATTTCGAATGAAAATTTAATTCTTCAATAATTTCGAGACTGTCATTCGTTAGATCATAAAATAAGAAAAGAACAAGAAAATAAATATATTCATAAAAATAGAGAAGATAAAAAGAATATTCTTCAATGACGATCAAACGGCAGATATAAGAGGAGATCGTTGAACTCGCAATGCGGATTAATTTTTGATCCGTGAAATATAAAATATCAAGATCATACGTCGGTAAAGTAATTTCAACTTTACAAATAGCGTATAAATCTGAGAATCTTGCAAAGCCCCCAAAAGAAGAAGAAGACAAAATGAATAATTATATCTCATTGGTTCTTATTTTCCCCCTTTTTTTTTTTTTGTGTTCTATTTGCTTATCGTTAATTTTTTTATAGCGATCATTTCGCCGACGAATATGTTGACATATTATCTTTCGTGGAAATAATCACGAGTTAGTATTGAAATGTGAATAACTAGAATAAATATAATGAGCGCAATACTATAAATAAATATGATTCGTTGCAATTAAATAGGCACTTGTTTGAAAACGTATACATATAGCTATTTTGATATCGGTGTCTATAACGACATCATTCGTAAGTTATATTTCACTGGTTTTATCGTAATCACAAGTACCGTTTAATTTTCATTAGCAAATTGTCCCATACACTCAACTCATCGTTAACCTACTGAAAATTTCTAACTATCTATATATATATATATATATATCGTAACCATTTTCCTCCGAAAACCTATCGGAGTTTTAGTAAAAGTTACAACATCGTTCGTTTACGAAATCCCGTTTTGAAAATTATTTCTATGCGAGATGAAGCTTAACTTTGTAAGTTGATTTTAAGCTTCAACCGTATAGGTCAACTCTCAACTTTTTTTTTTTAGTTATTTCATTGAATTATTTATTTAATTCTACTTTCGTTCGGTTTCCGTTTCATTTTTGCTCTTTTCAAATGTCTAATTAAAATCAAACTGCTATCTTATATATATATCATTATTTAAATATTTCTATTTTAACTTATCGTGCAATGAGTTTTAGCGTGAATTTTCGAAAGATATTATTACAGATATACCATTTGATTTATATGATACATATAATACGTATCATATACCTATTAATTGTTAATACTTTTTATCTCTCTCTCTCTTTTTTAAACGAACATATTTCATAAATTACAGCATCATTCCTTTCACCTTACAAACTTTCTCAATGTTATTAACATTTTTTATTATAATATAATGAATTATTTTTATTTTGTAAAATTACACATTAAAAAGTTGTCAAATATAAAACGTCAAACTTATTTGAACTTTATCATTATTATGTTAGTCCAAAGTTTTTAATTATTACTTAATCGTTCAGTTATATATCTTTCCTTTTGAATGAATCTTCGTTAACATTATTATTTCTCGGTAGAGATAGGTACGTTATCTTCCTACCCGTGTGCGAATATTATCTTTTGTAAACCTTGCGCTATAAAATACAGCATAAATTAACCATGAATTACGTCCTCCCCAGTATGTCGGTAGGTATAATAATAATTCCCTCGCGTAGAATATGCTTAACTTTCCGTACTTTGCGTTTACACAATCCTTACTAAAAAATAAGGTAAATAATGAATTTGCTAAGTGAGTGGTATAAGTTAAATAAGAATCCTTCCCTATGCTTTCCATAACGCGAAATCGACCTAAATTAAATTTCCATTGCAAATGTCATTTGGCCAATTTATGCCAGTTTTGTTGAAAGGATGAAAATGATAACGTAAGGATAGTGATAACATTGAAGATTTTTTATTTCTTAATAATAAGAAAAGGAAGAAAAAAAGAAAACACGAAACCAAAGGTAACCGATCAAGTTTATCTAATATCAAAATAAATTGTCTTTAGTAATAATGATGTTTGTATATTAATCGTGTGTCTTTAACGATTTTTAAATTGTTACTATTGAAAGCGCGTACATTGTCTAT